CAGCATCCCAAAGGGACCTGGCATCAGTCCAAGGAGGTATAGGATGTATAGGGTCCTTGGCTGCACAGACATGGACCTGGCCTTGTTCTTCTTCCGGGTGTTAGGGGTCAGGGAAGGTTTCCTTAGCTGTGAACTCTGTAGGCGTGATCATCTTTCCTTGGAAAGAGGGTACCACACTCAACAGGAGAATGTTCCAGTGAGGTTGTTGTCTCTATGATCCTATAATATATGCTGTCATGGTGGATTTCGTGCAAAAAGAACCATAGAATGAGGAATATTTTAGGATTAATCTGAAGTAAGGTGTGAAGAGAGTGCTGCTATTTTTCTGCTCGTTAACATGCCAAATATAACTCGTCCAGCTTGAAAAGGGTAAAATATGATCTGCTTGTAACTGAGCCACTGGAATCACTTAGTTCATTTCACCAAGGAGCTGTGAAGCAATCAAGAAAATACCTGCCTGGGATTTAGGGGGTTCAATTTGGGGATGGGGAATATTTTGCTCAAGGGCACGTGCATCGAGTCCTCTGTCATGTGCATCCTGGTGGGGCCGGGACCATCTGCTTTTCAGGTACATGACAGATGTTCCCCGGTTGTGAGATGCTCCCTTGAGGAAGAGGATGGAGGGGGAGGCACGCATGCTGGGTGAGCAGTCCCTCGCTTCCGCTTTATACTTGCTCTGTTGATATGAGGCTCCCAAACACTTAGACTTTGGAAAAGCAGAATCTTGGGAATGTGTTCAAGGAGGAGAAACACAGATAAGGAGAAATAACCGGGTGGAATCGGTCTCGTGGAGCCGAGGTAGAGTGGCGCAGGAAGGCTGGTCGTCCCCACCCTGCTCCGCCCCAGGCAAAGTGACACACAGGGCGGGGGCATTGCCAGCATCGCCAGGGCTGAGCAGCCGTCCTGGATGATGGGAGGGCTCTAGGTTGGCTCAAAGTGTTTGAGGGACTGTAGGCAGCCCAGGAATCTCCCACCCCCTTTCGCCTCCCCTGCCTTTCGTGCCTGAAAAATAAATTGCTAACCATCCTGCTGCAGTTCCTGAGAGTTGCCTACATTAAAAACAAAATAAAACGTTTCCAGGCTCAACCTGAAACAAGTATTGATGTCTTAAGAGGAGCAGACATCTGATGGAAACACTGACACACTTAAGCACTTGGAAGGACAAACCACACAGAAAGTGAATTATCACTCAGGATGAGCCAAGCAGCTAAGGAGATAGAGTATCTTATCCTTATAAGTGAATACACTCAAAAGCATTTTAGCATTGCTGGGCCAGCTGCTCCTCATTGTAGAAGGTGCTTCCTGGCTAGTTCCTACCACATGTCTCTTTACTCTGCTGAACTGTCTGAAAATCGCCTCTTCCTCTGAGGCAGATTTGCTACAAGCAGCAGTGATAGTGCTGCAAGTGCTGATCTTTGTTAGAAGTGTCTCTTGATAATTTTCTACCAATTACTGCTTTGGCTAAGCTAATAAATAGTTGGATTTTAGTCATATCTTGGGAGCTCACAACCTAAATTACCTTCTCCTCTCTTAAGAACCCATTAAAGCCGCAAACTAATTCCAGCACTGCTGGAAGGTGGCAGAGTGGACTGCCATAACCCTTACACTAGTTAATTCCACAGTAATGTATACCTATGAAAGTATGTGTTTATAACTGTCTACAGTGGATTTTGAAAAGATGCCGTTAAGGTCAGTTAGATTCCAGATGGGAGTTTCCTTTGGGAGAGGGGAGGGGGGACTTTGTAACCTTACTTGCACTACAGATGTTTTCTGAAAGTTTTCAGGGAAGCGTGGGGAAACATTGGAGATAGCTGTTTGCCAGCCCTGAGGATGGTCTTGTTGGATAGAGGACTGAGACTCAGGAGATGTGCATTTGTAGCCCCAGTAAATGTGAACACCAACTGGGAAGCTGTTTCGACGTGCTGTTTTGCCCTGAGGTTTTCTGAATCAGAGGCATGCATCCAGATGCAAAAGCAGCCAGCCATGCCTGGAGAGCTCAGCACCTGCTCCCCTGTATTGGTTTCCTTAGGATTTGGCAATGAAAGATCCAAGACGAAGAAGGAGGTCTAACCCTTGCACAGGTTCCCAGAAGAGCTCAGTCCCCCAGGTGTGCTTTGAACACACCTACCAAGCGTGGGCTGCACTTGGGTTACTCACAGAGCTCTTGCAGGCACTTTACTCACAAAATGTGGTTCCAAGCCTTTTGCGTGCCACTCTGATGGCCGGAGAGTTTGGCCTCAGGAGGGAAAACTTCATGTCCTCAGCAGAGGAGTGTCATTGCTGGCTGCAGAAGACCAGGAGTGGGAGAGGAGTCATCCTTCTTGTTGGAAACGAGTGGGAAAAACAAGGCACCTGCAGCTGGAAAGCGGGCAAGGAGAAGCCGGGCTCTGTGCGTTGGCGCTCTCAGGGCATTGATGGGGATACGTGAGGTCTGGATCCCTGCTTAAAATGCCGACTGTTCTCAGTGCGGAGGTGAAACTGTCTCTACTTTAGGATTTAGCGTTTTATTTGAAAGACGTATGAGAAATAAGAATAGTAAATGCTCGTTCTCCAAGGTCCCAGTTAGGCAAAGTGCTTAAACACATACCTGAAATTAAGTGCACATTTAAGTACGCTGTGGAGGTCTTTGATTTGGGTTCTGTTTACTGTTTAAGCCATAGGCATTTAAACTGAAATTTGAAGAACTATTTTAAAAAGTCAGATTGAAACCACTAGTAGCGTTCTCCTTTTAATTTGCCACCTCATCTTTCCAGATCCTACTCCCAGTCGGTAGGAATAAAGTCACTAGGAGTGAAGTGTGCATCTAATGGGCATCAGGGTAACTGTTGGAGACCAGCTGGGGGGATTGAGGGCAGAGATGTCAAAACAAAGTTGTCAGAAACGAGATGAGAGTCGTTTCCACGGAAGATGCTTCAGACCCCAGTTGTTCTGCTCTGAGTCTAAAGAAAATTTGCTCTTTGTTTCACTATTCCCTAGTTATATTTTATAAAAATAGTTTGTTGCTTTTTCATTAACACAGGTTCGTTCTGGCTTTAAAAAAGAGTGACTTCTTTTTAGATGGTTGATTAGTACAGTTGGGTTTGTGCTTAGTCTGGGCTTGTTCCTGTTTGGTAGGCTTATGATATAAAAGCCAAAATATACAAGTTGTGATCATTTGACAAACAGCTTGGGTAAAAGTGTGTGTTTTGTGTGGAGGAATTTTGCAGCTGCATGGGGTTTGTTTTCCAGTAGATTTAAATTAGCAGAAGCTTCCATCAAGTTCAGCAAGCAAAGAGCGGTACCTAGTCCTGCAAGCGTGAAGCTGTATCCAGGGCCTTTTAATTGGAAGCCAGAGTTGGTACCATTGAAAAAATCCTTACAGTCCAAAGGAAGGAAGAAAGCCCATTGAAATGAACAGTTAAAAGAGAATATTCCTCTTTACCTGGTGCCCCAGCTTTCTTTTTCTCAGCTGTATTTCACCCAAGGATCTCCCAGTTTGGAAGAGACTGTGAGCGAACACGTAGCATCACAGCAGGGGCTGGTCTGGGAGGAAGGAGATCCTAGAGTTCTGTCTTCTTTTTCTTTTAGGCAAAAGTATGTACTTTTCAGGGAAATTTCTTGTGTGTTAAACAAAAAAAAAAAAAAGGCAAAAAAAAACCCCCTTGACTGTACACCAGAACGCTTGGCCAAAACCTAAAATATTTGAATTGGGATGGCTGCCAGGGTATCTCAGGAAAGGTGCTTTGTGACCCCATGTGTGTGGGCTTTGCCTACTGCTAGACGATACCTCCCATGATTTACCACATTTTAAGGCCCCTAGAATGCACCATTTTTACCCTGAAAGATTATCAGCTAAAAATGTTTGTTTACTTTTAAATTTCCACAAAAATAAAAACATTGCATGACAGGATGAAAAAAGGAATCATTTTATGTTTTATAACCTGCTCCAGGCCTTTCACTTAATTGCAGAAGAGCAACTTGAAGACTGTGCAACATCCTCAGATAATCTAAATGGGTGAAGTTCCTTTGATTTCACAGTTAAATTCTAATCTATGAATGTACTTGGGTTGCAAAATTGGGATCTCTATCTGTATCTGATAATTATCGGAGATAAAATCAGGCCTGTTGAATTTGGATCGTGGGATTAGGTTAAGTTCAGACCAGTCTGGTTTGAATTATTATTTTCTTGTTAATTGTATAGTCGTAGGAGCAAAGGATCTTCACCATGAAATGGGATCTGCTTGTAATACGTGTTGTACAAAACCAAAGAGACTTTTATGCCCAGAGAACCTTGCAGTCTAAGCGCTGGTGTAAGTCAAAGGACACGCACAGGTCATTGCCAAAGGAAATATTGGTCAGCATAAACAAGGCAAGGGACATGGCAGTCTTGCTGTTGATGTAGTTGGGTTGATGGCAGAGTCATCTTTTTGAAGCAGGTGTGAAGGAAGAATAATCCATTAGACATCGAAAGTCAGTTTACATACCACTGTGAAATGAGTTTGAGCACAGTCAGACCCTAGAATCATGCTCTCGGGAAGTCCCGCATCCCTCCATGGGGAGACTTTTGAGCTCCAAACTTTCCTTTCGTCAGGATACCGCTATAAAGCAAAACGCTCCAGCCCGTGGCAGTATTTACTGTCATCACTAGTGCAGGCAAGCTGCCACAGTTGGTGGGTAGACTGAACAGAGAGATTTCAAAGCGTCATGTTCAGTCTTGGAGTTTGTATTTCTTTGTCGCTAAAAGAGTGAATAATTCCTACTTTCAGAGAGCTAGTGGGTGCATTAATTTATTGCAGCCTGCGACTTCCATCCAGCCTTTTCCCTTGTTTTCCCCACCCTGCAGAGGTTGCCTTTAGGTGGTCCAGGGTCTCTGAGAGAACCTTCCCAAGACTTAAGTCTGGAAAGGGGCAACTCTGGGCACATGGACACATCAGTAGGACAAATATATTTCTTTTCCAAATGCTCTCATTCTGTGACACCTGCTCTTACTTACTCATTTCTGTTTCTTTTTCCCTTTGCAGAATACTTGAGGAGTGAGACCGCCTTTCTGGAAGAGTTGGTGTTTGGGAATGGAGATACCATTGAACTTTCCTGCAACACCCAAGGCTCTTCTATGTCTGTTTTCTGGTTTAAAGATGGTATTGGGATTGCACCTACCAACAGAACTCATATTGGACAAAAACTGTTGAAGATAATCAATGTGTCTTATGATGACTCGGGGCTGTACAGTTGCAAGCCGAAGCATTCCAATGAGATCCTGGGGAACTTCACAGTCAGAGTAACAGGTACGTGCAGAAATACAGCTATTTCTCTCCTTTCTTTTTTGTAATTTTGCCCCTTTATGTGTTCAGCACTGATGGTGCTTTGTACTCTTCCTCCAGTGAGGTTTCTGCCTCATTAGCAATTTCTAGCAGTTGCTGGACTGGCAAAACAAAAAACCATCAATCAAAGAATTGCGCTTGTCCGTACCACATGTTAAATCCTGGATGTTAAGGCTGAGAGAGACTTACAAAAGGTGCTAAGCAGGCTAAAACCCAAATCCCCCTGAACGCTCAAATAGATGCAGTGCTACGTGTTCCTTTGAAGTCTTTTATGAGCGAGTGAACTGTGGCCAGGGAGGTTAAGTGACTTTTTCCAGTTTGTGGGACAAATCAGTGGCAAAATTGGATCTAGAAGCTGGGGGTTCCTGCGAGCTATTTCTGTGTTAGCTGATAAATGTGACTTCCTTCTGTCCCAGTTATCACAGGTGACTTGTTTGCTTTAGAAGCAGCTCATCTGTAAACTGTGTACGTCTAGGATCTGTGCGCAATCAAAGGCACTTACAGGGAACCACATATTGCAGACAAATGCTGTGCTAGCAAAGCACCTACTGTCGTTTGCCTGACTATTTTCCGTGATTAGGACAGTAGGACAGAACAGCTGCAAGCTAGCCCAAGCATGGATTGCTAAACAGAGGGTGCCAGAGAAATCTGTTCTTCACAGAGAGCAAAAAATGCTAAGATCATCCTCATTATTTTCAGACTGCCACGTGAGTAGCTGAAAGTCATCAGTGTAAGCTGGTAGAAATCCTCCTGATGACACAGGTTAAAGGCCTGAATTTTCAGAAGAATTAACTCCCTGTGGATCTAAGCTTTTGAAATGTTTCCTTTCCCTTGCACTGTTGGAGCTTTATCAAGCATCCCTGAATGACAGGCCCTTGCCCACTGTGCCCTCAAAAAGTTGAGTTCCCTCAAAAAGTAAGGCACTCCTTATGAAAACTAAACACAGTTATACGTGATAGCAAATCTGGGCCGTACTTGAGATACTGGATCCATTCCGTAAGGAGCTTTGCTTGCCAGAAATAGGATTTTATGCAAGCAATAGATTCAAACCGTCTTGAGAATAGATGCTCACTTCAGCAAGCCTTCCCCAACATCTGCTCTTCATTGAACATGACTGGAGATTGCTGTGAACGCTTCAAGGTCATATCAATTAAATGGTTAAAGAAGTATTTGACCCTTGAAAGGCTTCCTTTAACTAGGTACAATTATTGGGAATAGTCAAAGAACTGCAGGTTGTTAGAAATGTTACTCTCTCTTTTTTTTTAAGTAACATTAAAATGCTTTGGAGTTCAAGGGGCAGCGGGGAGGCAGAAGAGGGCAGCCGGCTCCACGTTCGAATGAAGCAGCTGCCAGCCCCCAAAGTTTGTAAAGTGAGAAATTGTTTTTAATAGTGGAAAGACTGATAATCCCATACTTTTAAAAAGTTTAAGCCCCTGTGTTTTTCCTCTTCAGCAATAATAGCTAATAACAGCTTAGGAACAAGCACGTAACCCGAACCTACACTCTGACAGCATTATGAGCCTTTGATTCTATTAGCCCGCTGTCATTACCACCAAAGTGCTGGTAATGTGGGAGTCTCGGTTTTAGCTGTCAGCAGCACTTGTTTGAAACTTTGAAGCCCTGCTTTGTGTGGCGATAGTGGCGCCTCTTGTATTCTCCGATATTTCTTCGTAATTATCACTGATTGCTCAATATTCCACTCCGGAGACGAGATTGTTATCTGAGATTCGTGGTGTATGTTCCCTCTTCTTCAAGGTAACATCAGTGATTAGCTGTGATACCTTCTTGAATATTTATGTGGGTATCTAATGTTATGGCCCAGAGTTTTCTCTGCGTTAAACTGGTTTAAATCTATGCTAACAAACCAGAGTTGTACCAATCTGTGCTCTTAAGTGAGCAAAACTGGGCCATATTGGAGAGGCACATTCAAAATAGCTTTCATACATGGAAGTCCCATTTGAATTGATGCTGCCAGGTTCTAGCACTGTATCAGGATTCTCCTCCGTCGGGCCGGGAGTTTTGAGGTTGCAACGGAGCTGCTTGGGCTGGAGGCAGAGCCCATAAATGCTCTAGCTGGCGTTTTGGTGACTTTCCCCATGGGGACGCATTGTGTCGCTGCACTGGGAGGTCTCGTAAACGAGCTGAACATGCTTCCCGTCTCCAGAAACCCTTCACAGGGCATTGAGGCTTCCCCATTGACTGCAGCAAACCAAAACTGGTGTCTGCATTAAGAACCGTCAGATACCTGAGAAGATCAAAGCTGTTCCTTTAAACCTTAAAACGGATTGCTTATTAACAAGGTCTTGCTTAGAAATGCCACTGTTGACACACGTGCACTTTAGCATTTTATTGGTTTACAAGAAAAAAACGTACTGTCCGCTGGAAGCGTAAACACTTTATGTGAATCACAAATAAAAATTGCATGCCCAAACTGATCTCCAGGGCTGTTTACAGAAGCTCTGTGTCTGCGACCATTTCGTGTACAAAACAGCCTTCAGATTTAGTGGCCTGTGGAGACAGAGCAAGAGCCTGGACCTCTGTGACTAGCCCTGATGGTAGGTTGGTACCGAACAAAAGAGCTTTCAAAATACCTAAGACCAAGCTCCTCAAAACACGTAGCTAATGCAATTAAGCACCTTCATTGTGCGTAATTAAAGCCCTTTCAGAAATAGTGTCTAGCAGTTCTTGTGGATGTCAGTTCTCACTGTCTTCTGGAAGGGTTTACTGTTTCATATTTCAGTAAATAGTTAACAAATAGCTTAGCAAATTTTTAGTCATCTTCTGAAAAAGGTGACTGTTTGAGTAACCTGAATAGGAATGTAGCTCCAAGGATGGACTTTCTGCCCTTAACACCTAAGCTGCAGCTTCCCTGAAAAGCTTTCATCTGAAGCAGACAAAGTCGAAAACTGCCCCTTGGTCCTGCTCAATTTCTGCTCCTCCTGTTAGGATCGGTACATTTGAAAAGAAGGAAACCGTAATCACATGTTAATAAATGGGTAACCAAATCTCACGGGTGCAGGGCTGAGAATTTGCTCGTTTATCTGTCGACGCTGGTGGGTATTTGGCCAGGTTTCTGCCTTCGCTGGGACTTGAGTAAACCTGCTGGTTCAGCCGAAACACCTAAACATCCACTTGGCTTTCAGCAAGCCCTGTGGCATTTCCCTGGTTCTGCTGCCAGCAGGACCTTAATCGTGGATTTGCAGTTATATACATGCTTAACGTCTTTCTTGAGACTGTGCCAAGGAGAAGGTGCAAAGCATGATGTGTGACTGTAATCTAAGGCGGGGAGATGGTTCTTGTGTCACTTGCTCCTATGTATAGCCAACGTCTCTGTAAATTCTTCCCAGATTCTGAAGAAAAGTAGTATTTGTTGTTATCTTTCCTCTCCCTCCCTTTTTTTTTTTTTTTAACCTCCGTACTTTTTGTCACTGAATTGGTTAGAGAGTGACAGAAAACTTGAGAGCGCATCTTGGAATGAGAGAGGTTCTGCCTGACTTGGTCTGAACTGGTGCATTACGTTTCTGGCCACGTGTTGAACCCCCATGAAGTTTCCTATTTTCTAATGTTTAGTGCTGAGTTCTTCTACTGCTGCATCAGAATATAAAGGCTGCTGCATTGTTATCATTTTGCCTTTATTTGAAAAAGAAATTCTTCAGGATTATGTAAAGTGAGAGATGGCTGAATCTTGCAGACGCTGAATTGCACTAAATCATTTAAACAGCCAGCTGCTGTTTTATTATGGGCTTTACATATACAGTAGTTATTTGAGGGGAAAAAAGGACTGAGAGTTTATTGTGGACAACTCAGGAGAGGAAAGATGTCAGACCACGTTAAGAAAACGGATTCAGGAGGTTTTCGAGCGTTGTGAGGTACTGATGGAAACTTCCCACCTGCTAACCTGTATTCGGTTTCAGCCTCAAGGTGCCTCTGTAGATGGAATATAGCCAGAGTGAGCCACAGAAGTGTCTTATCTAGAGAGAGGTTTGGTTACAAGGGGAAGTTTTAAAAGCTTTAGTCTGCGTAGTTTAGCAAGGAGTTAACAAGGGAAGACATGGCAGAGGTGTAGTGACTTAAAAGAATAGCCCTGAGAAAGTGAATGAGAAATGCTGATTTGTCATTTTGAGACTCATTAAAATAAAAAGCCTACAGAGCGAATGCTAGCAAAGCAAAAAGTAAGGGAGAATTTATTCTTTTAAGAGAAACTTGCCCGTTTGGAATTGCCTGTTTGTTTGCAAAGAGAAAAAGCATTTCACACATGGAGAAGCTTTTGGCGTTGGTCACCAGCTCGCTGATGGCAGAGCACTGCTAAACTCACTACATTTCTCTCCCCGTTCAGAAAACTTCTGGCCGGCAGGAGCTGCAGATGCAAGCGAGCTGGGCCCGGCAGTGTAGGAGGGATGAGCTGGCGGGTCTGTGCGAATGGGGAATGTGAAGCACGCACGCTCATCTCCGGGGGATAACCTGCGCCTGTTGCCCAGGCGCAGGGGTGGCAGGCTGCTCGGAGATTACTTTGTTTGTTCACTGGTCTCCTCTCACGTCACCTGAAGCAATTCACACCTCAGCAGCTTCCGAGGCAGCTTTCTGCCCTGGAAACTTGGCAGCACCAAGTTCGCTTCACCAGATGAAGTGAAACTGCTGAAGGAGGTCATGTCCTCGGTGCAGGAGGATCAGGCTGGGGAACACTTGCACAAGCTGGACACGCACAAGTCCAGGGGTCCTGCCAGGATGCATCCACGCGTGCTGAGGGAGCTGGCCAGTGTCATCGCAAGGCCACTCTCAATTACCTTAGAACAGTCGTGGTGATCAGGAGAGGCTCCTGAGGACTGGAAGAAAGCAAATGTCACCCCTACCCCCTATCTTTACGAAGGGAGCTACAGGCCGGTCAGAATCACTGGGACAGCGATATCACCCTGGGAAGGTGATGGAGCAACTAATCCTAGATACCTTTTCAAGGCATATAAAGGACAGAAGGGTGACTGGGAGTAATCAGCATGGCTTTACAAAGGAAATTGCGCTTAATGAACCTGATCGCCTTCTACGATGAGATGACTGGCTTGGTGGATGAGGGGAGAGCAGTGGATGTTGTCTACCCTGACTTCAGTAAAGCTTTTGATGCTGTCTCCTGTAGCATCTCCATAGACAAGCTGATGAAGTAATGGGCTAGGTAAGAAGACAGTGAGGTGGATTGAAAACTGGCTGACCTGCCGAGCTCAGAGGGTTGTCATCAGCAGCGTGAAGTCTAGTTGGAGGCCAGTCACTAGTGGTGTTCCCAGGGGTCGATACTGGGGCCAGTATTGTTTAACATTTTCATTAATGACCTGGATGATGGGGCTGAGTGCACCCTCAGCACATTTGCTGATGATACTAAATGGGGAGGAGTGGCTGATATACCAGATGGTTGTGCTGCCATTCAGAGGGACTTCAGCAGGCTGGAGAAATGGGCAGAGAGGAACCTCATGGACTTGAAAAGAGGGAAATGCCAAGTCCTGCACCTGGGGAGGAATAAACCCATGCAGCAGTACAGGCTACAGCATGACCAGCTGGAGAGCAGTTTTGCAGAGAAGGACCTGGGGATCCTAGCGGACAACAGGTTGAGTATGGGTCAGCAATGTGCTCTTGTGGCAAAGAAATCCAAAAGTGTCCCAGGCTGCATTAGGTAGCTCGTTTCCAGCAGGTCGAGGAAGGTGATCCTTCCTCTCCACTCACTCAGCACGGATGAGACACCCCTGTAGTGCGATGTCCAGTTCTGGGCTCCCCAGTACAAGACAAACATGAACAAAGTGGAGCGAGTCCAGCCAGGGACCACAGAGGTGAATGAGGAACTGCAGCATCTCTCATACAAAGGAGAGGCTGAGAGAGCTGGGACTGTTCAGCCTGGAGAAGAGAAGGCTCACGAGGATCTTACCAGTGCATATAAATATCTGATGGGAGGGTTTACGGAGCCAGACTCTTTTCAGTGGTGCCTAGGGACAGGATGAGAGGCAACGAGCACGAACTGAAACACAGGAAATTCCACCTGAACACAAGAAAAATACTTCTTCATTGTGAGGGTGGTTGAACATTGGAACAAGTTACCCAGAGAGGGTGTGGAGTCTCCGTCCTTGGAGGTATTCAAAACCCAACTGGACACGGTCCTGGGCAGCCTGCTCTAGGTGACACAGCTTGAGCAGGGAGGGTTCGACCAGATGATCTCCAGAGGTCCCTTCCAACCCCAACTATTATGTGATTCTGTGAAAGCTACTGTAGTTTCTTGGTTTAGGTGATAGGTTTAGTTCTGCACAAAACTGCAGGAACTGGAAGTCCAGCAAAGGCTGGAGAGTAGCTGTGCCCTCGTTGTTGAATGCGTGTCCTGGGGGTGCCCTGACTCCGCACACACGTCATGGGGCTGGATACAGAAACACTCGTGGCACAGGGCATAACTCCTTGCTTTTCTTTTTCTCCTTCTCGTTCTAGATTCTCCTTCATCAGGTGATGATGAAGATGATGATGATGAATCAGAAGATACAGGTAATTAATTTTTCTGGAGCACAGAATCCTCTTCTTTAAAAGAGATGCGCCCCCAAACGGAGTGGCTCCTAATGTTGTGGCTCCTAAAGCCTTGACATTAAGGGGAAGTATATAGTACTTTCTTTATTCCTCCTCCTCCCCCCCCCACCTCTCTCCTCCAAAAGCAGATTTTCAGAGATCAGGCTGGTTGCGCATGAGAAAGTCTGATGTAATGGGCTCGGAGGAATGGCGAGGTGTTCCTGGCCATGCCATGGATCTGTGCTGAGGCTTAGATAACTGCGTAGCAGCTCTGAAAAACAGCACTAGTGCTTTTACTTGCCTTTTAAAGTCTTCCATTAATATCATCTGACTGCTAGCCTGGTCAAACTGGAACTCTTAGGCTATGTTAGTGGTCTTTACGACTGGAAATAAAAACTCTCAGGACCTGGCAGCATGATGATATTTATCTAGAAATTCAGAAATAGTTGCCAGAGTGGTATAGCTCCTACAATATCTATCAGCAGCAGTAGCGTAATGTTTTTTTGGAGACTTGATTCTGTGAGTCTGACTTTATAAACTGCAGTTATAAATTCTCCTTGTATTCAAAATCCAGAGAAACCCACTATCATTGTTTTTTTACTCTAGTGAAGTTATCCCAGTTTTACACACTCCGCGTATCTTGACCTGCTTTATTTTTAGCCATTTTAATTCTGGTCCTTACCAGCATCTTGGCTGGAGGTGGAGGCAGCTTGGAGAATAAAGTTCACACTAGCCAAGGGCCAGATTTACTGATGCCATTAGCAGGAGCAACTCCTCTGGCTTTACTGGCGCGCTCAGGTTACTCGTGGGGAAGCGAGCCCCAGCACTGAGCCTCTCAGTCCTTTTACACTGAGTCTCTTTCAGTCCCGGTGCTTGTTGCTTTAAGGGCGATACCATTAATCAGGATCATTACATGCTTCGTAGGCGTTAGTGTTGTGTTTTATTATGCTCTTTATATTTCTGCAAAGCGAGCTGCCTGTGTGTATGTGTTTTTAATAAATAAGTGTCTTGCATTTGAACTCCAAATCAGCTATGTATGTTGGCAGGAATTCAACATGACTGGAAAATATCTCCTACCCATAACCATTGGGCATGTAGGACTCTTTAAAACAGGTCTCCCACTGTAATAAATTTATACCGCTGTGTCTTGCAGTATGTGGACAGTAATTGTGAGTTACGGAGCCAGGTGACCCGTCAGCAGCAGTTAGTGGTTTTCTGATAGCTTCTAATTAAGGGCTGAATCCTGCAAGGTGACAAGCACCTTCGAAAGAGCACTCAGCACTCCTACCGCCTGACGAAGCCCTTTGGAGCCATAGAAAGGATTGGGTTTGGTCAGGATTTGCTCCCACTGGAGACCGACTTCTGATTTACACAATCAATCATTCTGTACTCTTTTTTTAATGTGGTTTGTAGTAAACTTCATCTCTTAGCAACAGGTATCACAAAACATGAGCTGTTTTATGGTACAGAAAGGCACGTTCTTCTTCACTGAAAAAGAAAACATGCTTTGCCCACATGTATTTATAGCCTGTATTCTGGGTCTTCTTGACTTTAAGGCTGTCTCTTCTTTTAAACCTGAAGGTAACCACTGGCTTCACTTAAAGGTCTCACTATAAAAAGTTGGATTCTCTTCTGCTTTAAGCATGGTTGAGTAGCTCGACACGCTGGAGTGGCAAACCCTCGTGGCACATAGTGACGTGAGCGTGCTTTAATTTGTTGGGTTGAACGTTAGAGCGTCCCATTAATCCCAGCGGTTGTTCCGTTGAGACGCAGGAGGCACTTTGTTAACCCCACCGCAGCAGATCGTCCTGGGGGGGCAGACGCCTTACAGAGAGCCCGCGGAGCTGCGCCCGCCAGCACCTCGTGGCACAGAGATACCCTACTAATGAGGTGTACAAGCCATCACTTGGCATCAGACGTGGCTCCGGTCAGCAGAGGATTGGAGGCGATAAACGCACCTTTCTCATGCAAAAAGAAAAATATAACCAAGCACCACCACCCACGATGGGTTGCAGGTCTGCACCGGGTCTCGAAGCACTGTAAGGAGCCCATGTAGTCTAGGAGTATTTTCTCTGGAGAAGCCCTCCGCAGGAGGCCCATGGAGTGCTTTTACCCCTGCTTCAGCTCCACTTGGCCCAATCGTAGTTGCCTTTCACAGGGTGTAACCTTTTCTTCTTGATGCTCAAAAGGTGGTCTTTTTTTCTGCCCCCCCCCACCCTAAACCAGGCCTTTTGCAATGATATGAGAATTTTCTGGCTTGCTTGTGTTGTGTGAGAGAGTGTCTTGTTGTCATGTTTGTCCAGAGGAGCTTGCAGAGGTGATTCTGGTGGTGTCATGAGTTTGAAGCCAGTCTCATGAGCTTTGGGGATGTGACCCAAGATTATTGAATGATAAGGCTGGAAACACCAAAGCTAGGGAAGAAGAGGACCTCTCTGATAAAGGAAACGAGTATTTGTTGCAGAAACCCTTGGAGAACATGGAGGCAGGGCCGCTGCATGGAGTCCCCCGCTCTGCCCATGCTCCTTTAATCAGCTTCTCCTAACGGTCGTGTGGAACGGGATCGTCCCTTAGGGACGGAAGGTGGCGAAGAGGAAAGAAGAGCTTCAGTAACGTCAAATTATCCGCACATTTGTTGCAGCCTCGTCACAAACTGCAGTCCGCCTTCGCAAAGGGAGGCTTCCCAGTACCTATGATCTCCACAGCTGTTTTTCCTGGCTCTGAAACAAAAACAAACCTCCCTTTTCACACACCACTCTTCTGCCCCGGTGCTCCCTTACCCCTCTGTATCTGTTTGTTTGGAGCCCCTGCTGGGTCGCCGGAGCACCTTCGAAGAGCCCCTGTAATCTCCAATTAAAGCTGGCTGTGTCCTCGGAGGCGTCAGCTGGGGAAATTACACAATTAGGACTTGATTCTGTCTGCTGCAGAGTTTTGTGGCAGCTCCTAATTGCTAAATGAGCGCTTGGGCTGTATCAATTATTCCAAGTATCGCTGGAGTTTTTTAATTGGTCATTCGCGTCGGATGGGTGGCCAGTGTCTCTGATGAACACGACGGACCGTCGGGCTCAGTGTTTGATGATGGGAAAGGATTGGTGACGGTGTTTGCAGTTCCCTTTTTTTCACACCTGTGCATGCAGAATCTTTGCTCCTACTTAAGTTAGAGCTGGTCTAAAAATTTTGGCTGGCTCCCATCCCTCCCCGTTCCTCTCTCCCAAAACTTTGCAAGCTTCGTTCGGAAAAAAGAGTTAGCCGAATCTTCACCCCTTTAAAAATAAGTAATGAAAGGGCTCTAGGGGCACGGTAAACTGCAAGCACTGATGTTTTGTGAGCTGTTCCTGAGAGCGAGCACAAAGGCACCGTTTTTGAATGTGAGCTTGGACACTTGTTTCCAGTTTCAGTTTGACTGGAGCGATGTCCCGGCTGTGCCCCTTGGCGCCTGCGCCCAGGCGTTGCCAGCGCGGGCGAGAGCCTTGTCGCGTGGAGGAGCGCAAAAATGCCCCTCGGCTTTGGTGGGAAAACTTGCAGTTGATGGGTCTCCGGTGAAAGTCAAACTGATCTTTGAGCGAGTTTCTGCTCTACTGAGAAAACCCATGCGAGTTAACCAGCGAACAGCAGGTTATGTAGCTGCCCTTCTTATCCGGGGCAAACGGGGACTTTTCCTGAAGTGCCTTTTCCCAAACTGCTCCCGGCAGCCCCGTTAACCTTCGGCAAAGCCGGTATGACAATACGCCTGCAAAATCGGGGTGCGTTGCCAAAAGGAAGTATTCAGGCAGAAAATAGCAGTGCTCTGTCTCCTGAGGAAGGGCTGAGATGGGACCTGGCCGTCCCCGACTGCGTTTGCGGCGTAGCTCTTGGGCTTCCTCCGTGCTCGGCTGCGCTCGCCCTGGAGGCAGAGGCGTTTCTCAGCGGCGCAGCGATGCAAAACGCCAGGCACAGCAACAGCCTCGCGTGGGGCAGCAGCAGCGAGTTCGGCCGGTGAAGCTCGTGGATAACGTGGCTTCGCGGGACGATTTCTCAGTACGTCAAAACTGAAAATCCACGAAGCGTGGGCCAGGTGTTGAAATAAAGCAGCCTGCCAGCTTTTGGCGGTGCTTTCACCCAATTTAGAGCCTTTGCTTGTTTTCTCTCTTTCCCAGTGCATGCAGTAACAGCATCTTCCCTTGATGTCAAGAGCTGTTCTTCCTTGGAGAGCTGCTTCCGCGGTGCTAACTTTCTGAAGTATTTGCTCCGTTTTGCCTCGTAGGCAGTGCAGTTCTTTGCAGTTTTTCTAAGCTCAGATGTTCACAGCTGCCTTGTATCTTGCCTTAGCCCATCGTATCTTGTAGCATTTGAGGCTTTTTCTGGCTGTGGCATCCTGTATCCAGGATTTTGCGTCCGGCGGCCTGGCTGTAGAAGTGTTAAAGCAGATTTTATTTGAGGGCCAGGCACTGCAGAGCTAGGTTTTTCAGGAGCCGCTGAGATGGTGAGATGCCCCTGCTCGCCTTTACGCCCGTTGCTAAACACCAGGTTCGCATTGTGAGAGCTGAGTGAAATCCTGGGTGCGTGAAGCAGGCAGCCAAACACCCGCTGGTTTCCACCAATCTGGGTTGTGTCCAGCCAGGCTGAAATTAAAACTAATTCATAATTAAAACATAAAACTAATCACCCTCAGCAAGTTTGCTGATGATACTAAACTGGGGGGAGAGGCTAACACACCAGAAGACTGTGCTGCCCTTCAGAGGGACCTGGACAGGCTGGAGAGGTGGGCGGAGAGGAACCTCATGAAGTTCAACAAAGGCAAGTGCAAGGTCCTGCACCTAGGCAGGAATAATCCCATGCACCAGTACAGGCTGGGGACTGACCTGTTGGAAAGTAGCTCTGCCGAGAAGGACCTGGGAGTGCTGGTGGACAACAAGTTGAGCCTGAGCCAGCAGTGTGCCCTTGTGGCCAAGAAGGCCAATGGGATCCTAGGGTGCATTAGGCAGAGTGTTGCCAGCAGGTGGAGGGAGGTGATCCTGCCCCTCTGCTGAGCCCTGCTGAGGCCTCCCCTGGAGTACTGTGTCCAATTCTGGGCTCCCCAGTACAAGAGAGACATGGCACTCCTGGAGAGAGTCCAGCGGAGGGCTACCAAGATGATTAGAGGACTGGAGCATCTCTCCTATGAAGAAAGACTGCGAGAGCTGGGCCTGTTCAGCCTGGAGAAGAGAAGACTGAGAGGGGATCTCATCAACGTGTACAAGTATCTGAAGGGGGAGTGTCAAGAGGATGAGGCCAGCCTCTTCTCCGTGGTGCCCAGCAACAGGACAAGGGGCAATGGGCAGAAACTGAACCACAGGAAGTTCCACCTGAACCTGAGAAAAAACTTCTTGACTGTGAGGGTGACAGAGCATTGGAACAGGTTGCCCAGAGAGGTGGTGGAGTCTCCTTCGCTGGAGATATTCAAAAGCCGTCTGGATGTGATCCTGTGCAATATGCTCTAGGTGACCCTGCTTGAGCAGGGAGGTTGGACTAGATGATCTCCAGAGGTCCCTTCCAACCTAAACGATTCTGTGATTCTGTGATTCTGTAAATATTAACAGTCGGGAAGGGATGAGGCGACTCCAGACTGAAGCCAGACACTGTAAAACCCTCCATCAAGCCTGCTTAAGTTGGTTGTGCTTTTCAAATACTTCCAAAATCAACCTGCACACAGTCCCCAGAAGTAGTCCCCAGTCAGACAGCGTGTTGGTCCATCCAAACAGCATTTGGGTTGCACTTTTTGTCAGGTCTGCTTTTTTTAGACCAAGGTGATATCATCACTGATGTAAGGAATTACAGCAGGGTGGGTCTCGGGGAGCCAAACTTAAGGGGGCTAACTAAACTGGGAGCACTGGAGAGAGGGGACGCTGGGGTGTAGAGGAGTCAGAGTAGCACCGGAGCAGCTGTGATGCCTGGTGGCATTTTGAAGCATCTTTGCTGCTGCACGAGAGCCCGATGGGGTCACTCTCCCAGTGGCCCTGGTGGCCCCTTTCCAAAGCTCTTCTTGCAGGACCGGCCCCTTCAGTTGATCTCTGCCGGGAGCGCACAGGTCTCCGCGACCGGTGGGTTTGGATACTCTTTCCGTCTGTGGGTACATCCTTCCTATCCGGAGGAGGTGGCTGATTAAGCTTCCTGGCTTCCTCTTGGCTGTTTTGCAAGCACAATGCTGCATGCACGCATCTCCCTTTGGTCCCGGTGTCAACCACGGGTTGAACGTGGCCCGCAGCGTGGCAAGAAAAACACCCCAAGCACAGCGCTGCAATGGCCCCTTAAGCAGAAAGGAAAGCTTAGGAGGGTCTTTTTTTTTTTTTTTTTGACTTTCTTTCCAGTATAATAAGTTTGCTGCCGCTGCTGCCTTAATTTGGAGTTAATATGTAATGTTTGTAGCAATGCCAAGAAACATTGCTGTACTTGAGGCAGATTATAAAAAGTGTCTCATGCTAACACTGGTATTTTAAAACTTATCCCTGTTCAAAGGTAACATGAATCTTTAAAACTAAAATCACTTGTACTTTAAGAACATAAACATGATAAACCAGTTTGGCATTGATTTTTTTTCTTTCCTTCCCTTAAGGAGGCTACAGTACATTTCTGCTCACTGCAAAGCAAAACTTTCCAGAGTGTTCAGCTAACACTTTTTCTTTGCTCCCTTGCTGGCCTATCAACATTTTTTAACTGTTCCAACATCTTTCTGCTGTTCATGCTTCTTGGCTACTATTGTCCTGAAGGTACATCTGTATCTCTTTACACACTGAGGCCAGATTCTCACCCTAATCTGGAATAACTCTCACGGTTGATTTAAAAGCAGCTACTCTAGATTTATACTGGCATTATTGAAACAAGAACCTGGTCATGAACCTTTCATCACAAACCTAAAATGGAAACACCCTGTCTCTGTCTGTGAGAATCATTTAGCTGGAAAGTATTTCTGTGTCATTTATCTTAACTGCAGCAGGTAGCAATTTAACTGTCACTCTTCGCCCGTCAAAGCCTCCTCAGATGCATCTGCTCACCAGCTGATATACTCCACTGCAGGATGGGCCTGTTCAGCTTGTCTTCTCTTTCACAGGTGTCCCCTTCTGGACCCGGCCAGATAAGATGGAGAAGAAGCTGCTAGCCGTTCCCGCGGCCAACACAGTTCGCTTCCGTTGCCCGGCGGGCGGAAACCCAACTCCATCTATATACTGGCTGAAAAACGGCAAAGAGTTCAAGGGAGAGCACAGGATTGGGGGCATAAAAGTAAGGCGCTGGTTTTGATCTCAGTGTAACAGGTGTTGAGGTTTTCTACTGACTGTTTTTCTCAGATGAGGGGAAAAACTGTGTTTTGCAGTATTTAGCTGACGTTGTTACATGTAAGAGGAAAGCACAGTGCTGCCTGCTGGATGGGGATGGTTTTGGTAGTCTTAGCAATCGCTTGACACCAAAGTCTTAAAAAGCGCTGCTGTCCGTTGGGATTGAAGGCTGATTCCCTGTGAGTTTGTCTGCATCAGTCATGCAGGATGAACGAGACTGGGTTTATGGGTGCGTTGTGGACAGTGACGGGAGGGCTTCCCTCCTGATGGCCAGAGGCCAGGACACTGGGGACCACGTGCTGCTTTGAGACTTGGTGGCAGAGCCATGGCGAGCCCTTGCTCTCCAGAAAAACCAGCCCCTTGTCTTTTGGAGGTGTAGGAAGGACCTCACCAACGAGCGGGTCTGTCGTGTTGGTGGTCGTGAGCATTCTCGTGGTGTAAATGACCAACCCTTGGTCAAGTGGAGGAGTGCCCTT